TGATCAAAGAGCGAGAGACAAGAAAGGCGAGGCTCACCAAGCCATTTATCTCTCTGCCCTTCAGTTAATCCCACTTGTGTTTATCGGCCAGGCTGGCACAATAAACTATCTCAGGCACCCAGGGCCAGCACTGTCTTTGAGCTTTGAATGAATGCACAATGCCTTCTAGGGCCTCTGGAGGGCAGGAAAGAGCCTGGAAACTTCTGATTTGAACACCCCAAACAAAAGCCGCCAAATTCACTGCCATCCAGTCAAAGCTGACCTGTCAATGTGGACCCATCCATGAATGCTGACCTGTAGGGACTTTGTAGAGCAAGGTTGAGTAACTCTTTATGGAGTAGAAAGCCAAGGAGGAGCTGGTGGTTTCAAACCACTGACCTTGTGGTTAGCAGCCCAACACATAGCCACACCACCATCAGGGCTCCTCCTGACATGAACAGCAGTTCTGTAAGTCAACCCCGAGTTGGAGGAATTCTGGAAAACCAAGGTGTAGCGCATACTCATGTCAACACCAGTCATGTATTTGCAAAGGTGTTTCCCAACGTCAGGGGGCCACGGGATGGAAAGATAGTGAGATTCCCCCATGAACTCCTTGAAGCCCCTTGTGTTCCCGACTGAGTGCCAAGGTGGGTGGTACTCTCTGCCCAGCAAACCCTGTGCCCGTGGGCTCTGAACAGTGGCCTCAGGTCCCGAGCCCACTGACAGTTTTTCTTGCAATATGTGACCTCTAAGAAGAAGGCTTAACCCTCCATCTGCCCATCAGGAAACAAAACAAAACCAGGCATTGACATGGACGTCATCAACATGTGAAAGAACACAGTCATGGAAACCATCTCACCACATGTTACTCACATAATGATATGAGCGATCTACATGTGTGTGTATAGCAACACCAGTAACACCTGATCGAAATCTTTTCGAGGAAGGTTTAGAAAAAGCCGCTCTTGATGGAGAATTGCCTTCACAGGAAGGAGATGATGGAGAATTGCCTTCACAGGAAGGCAGCTGTTGTGTTTATGTACCGAGTCGTCATTGCTTCCTTTGTTGGGTAGTCGTCTTGGATAATCCATCCAGAGGGGAACCCTTAGCTCATCCTGGTGGAGGCTGTACCTTCATGGCCTGATGGAAGCACTGGGGCACAGGATAAGGCTGTGTTTCCGAGTCAGGCTGTGTTGGCGTCAGCGCACGGGGCAGGGCTGGGCACCCTGGCAGCATTTCCAAGTGTGGCTCCAGTGTCGCTGCCGGTGACTCGTCTTGCCCCCAGGGAGGCACCAAAGCAAAAGGCTTTGCAAACTGCACCTCATGAAACCTCTGCTAGATCCTTCCATTGTCGAGCACATTTCAGGTTCCTATTTTCATTGAATTTTAGGAAACAAAGGTCCACGTGCTGGTCTAACAGGATTTGGGGCACTTGGAGTTGAACGAGAGATTTCTAACCCGGGTTCCATGTTGTCTTCAACTTGCAGGTGGATAAGATGGCCAGTCTGTACAACATCCACTTGCGGACTGGCTGCTTCTGTAACATGGGGGCCTGCCAGAGGCACCTGGGGATAAGCGACGCGATGGTCAAGAAGCACCTGCAGGTCGGTTCTGCACCGGGGCCAAAGCCAGTGGCGGCCCTCTCCAACGCACTTGTCCTGGCGGCAGGCCTGGGCGCTGTGACTTACTTCTCTTAGCTTCCTGCATTTGTGCCGTCCCTGGGGCTGCCTTACTGTGATGCCATGTGTGAGGCGGATTACCGTAGGAATGGGCCAAGACCAAGGTGTGGGCAGGGCTGTGCTCCCCTTCGGAGCTCAAGGAAAGAATCCTCTACTCTAGCGGTTCTCAATCTGTGGGTCACCTGATTCATAACAGTAGCAAAATAACAGCGATGAAGTAGCAATGAAAATCATTTTATGGTTGGGGGTCACCACCACATGAGGAACTGTATGGAAGGGTGGCGGCTTTAGGAAGGCTGAGAACCGCCGCTCTACTCGTTTCTAGTGGCTCCTGGGCTTGGGCGGCACAGCTTCAGTTTGCCTGTGTCTTCACGTGGCCTTCTCTTCCTCATGTCTGTGTGTCGTCTTCGCTTCTCTGAGGACGCTTGGCATCGGGTTTGGCGTCTCGGTGTCGTTGTGGTTACACACTAGGCTGTGAACCGCAAGGCCAGTAGCTCAAAAGCACCAGCCTTTCCGCACGAGAAGAAGGAGGCTTTCTACTCCTGTCAAGAGGGACAGTCTCAGAAGCCCACAGGGGCAATCCTGCCCCGTCCTATAAGGTCACCTTGAGGGAGAATCAATGCCATGGCTGCGAGTTTCGGTGAACCCAGGATAATCTCATTTCAAGAACCTTGACTGAATTATTTATCTGGAAAAAAAATTCCCTTTTCCAAGTGAGGTCAAAGTCACAGACTTGGATGTGGACTTTTGGTGGGGAGGGGCCTACATAAAACCCACGACAGGGGAGTCAGCAAAAATAGAAAATCCTGCAAAGTATTACCTATATAGTTTATCTGTCTGGTGATTACTTTTCTTTGAGAGCAAAGACTTAAATAAGGGGGGATTTTGAAAGGGAGCATGAGAATGTGGTAGTGCCTGCAGAGGGGGCTTAACTAGTTTAGCCCAATCAAGGAGGCCTGGTGGCATCGTGGCTTACACATTGAGCCTCTAATCACAAATTGGGTGGTTCAAACCCACCAGTCACTTCCCAGGAGAGAGAGGAGGCTGCCTGCTCCCGTGAAGATTTGCAGTCTTAGAAATCCTGGAGAACACTCTGCTCTGGGTCTCTATGGGTTGGAATCAACTTGATGGTGGTGGGTTAGGGCAGAATCTTCAAGCTAGAGTAAGTGTCCCACTGGGTGGGCTAGTGTGCCATGAAGCCCCTCCCCTCCCCTCTTACCTCTCCTCTGGCCCGAGGCTTTTCACCCCAGCATACAGCCTCCTTTGAAGGATTTCATAAGGATAGCTTGAGTAGCAAGAGACCCTCATTTTCTTTGAATAGTTTTTATTTATTTTTTAAAAATAATTTTATTGGGGCTTCATACAATTCTTATCACAATGCATCCATCCATCCATCCATTGTGTCAAGCACATTTGTTCATTTGTTGCCATCATCATTCTCAAAACATTTTTCTTTCTACTGAGCCCTTAATATCAGCTCCTCAATTTTCCCCCTCCCTCCCCACTCCCTGAATAGTTTTTAACCCGAGTTTCTTAGGTTGCTGCTAAACATTGTATATGCTGGATCCCCAAATGGAATTTTTTTTAAAGCAACTTTAGTTTTTAAGAAGAAAGAGCAGATGAGCATCCGTGCACAGGGAAGTTCAGTTCCAGATGGAACACTTGACCCTGTGCGTGACTGGCCGGGACTCACACTGCAGGGGAAGTGGTGCCTGGGCAGCCTCGCCCCCTGGCCCCCTGCGCAAACCACTGCAGGCACCAGGCTGCACAGCCTCCTGCCTCCTCCCCGCTCCCAGCAGGGAATGCATGCTGCCTTTGGCCCTTTGGAGTGTCTTTGGCTGGTGGCTTCTAAGGGCAGTGTCTGCCTTACCTTCTTCTAGAGGACCAGCCCTCACAGGGCTGAGGGCCTCCTTTCTTCTATTCTGATAGAGGATGAAGGGAGTGGCCAGCAAGCATTTCTCTCGGCAGCCTGGTGAGTTGCTCTCAGAGAAATGCTATTAGTAAGTGGGTCTACAGGGCAGGAATGTAAATATTCCTCATCCAAGGGAGGTTGGCAGTCCAAATTCAGGGCATGTTCTCGGAAGGCTCTCCCCTCGTGTCTGCTCTGGGAGGGGTGGGGATCCCCTGTTCATAGCTTCTCTGGCTCTGGTGTGCTTTGCTCCTTGGACATCTCCACATGGCGCCTGCCCTCCTCTCCATTTTCTTGCATCTCTGTGTATCCGATCTGCCCTTTTTACCTCTGAGCAGTCACGAGGTTTGGAACACACGCTGCATGGGGTGGCCTCACGCACAGAGCAATGAGACCCTATTCCCAAGTGGATATGGGAATCCACAGAGATGAGGGGGTAGGATTATCATGCCTGTTTTTCTGGGGCACTACCCAATGCAGAGCAGTAGCCAGTGCAGCTGGCCCCTCCGGGCATCTGAAACTGGACCTTTTCTGTTGGCCTCTCTGTGGACTCCGTACCTCGCTCTCACCCTGAGGTCTGATGAGCGGGACTCACCCTCTTAACTGCTTGCTCCCCTTTTGATCCCAGGCTGGCCATGTCTGCGGAGACAACCTTGATCTCATAGATGGGCACCCGACAGGGTCTGTGAGGATTTCGTTTGGATACATGTCTACGGTGGAGGACGCCCAGGCTTTCCTTAGCTTCCTCATAGCCACCCGCTGCTGCTCATCCGATGGCCGGCCCCTCCCTCAGGCCCTCCATGGGCTGGCTGCGTCCCCTTCAGCAGAGCCTGGGGCTCCGAACTCACTTGTCTCACCTCAGGAAGACACGCTCACCAACTGCAGAGTTTGGGAAGGTTTTCCCACCAACGTGAGCGTGGTAGATCTGTGCCCACCTGTGGCCGAGGCCAACAGAAGCCAGAAGACCCCCTTGGAGAAAGTGGAGGGAGCCCTGCCGGGGGGCCATGGAGCACACGTTGTCACCAATCTCTACCTCTACCCTGTCAAATCCTGCGCTGCGTTTGAGGTAAGGGTTCCCATTGCAGGACAGAAATGTCTTCTCTTTGCTTTACTCTAGACCAGGGCTTCTCAAACTTCCTCATGCCACCACCTTCCATACGGTGCCTCATGTGGTGGTGACCCCCAACCATAAAATGATTTTTGGTGTTGCTTCATCACTGTCATTTTGCTACTGTGATCAATCAGGCGACCCCAGTGAAAGGGTTGTTCGACCCCCAAAGGGGTCGAAACCCACAGGTTGAGAACCACTGCTCTAGATTTTTTTTTTTGGTTGGTAAAGAAAGAAAAATGTGGGGGGGAAAAGGTCAAGAAAACCATGCAGGAAATGAAAACCCCATGCTGTGGTACCATGATCAACGAAGACCCATTCTCACTCTTACGTTCTTGGCATAGACCAACTTTGAACACCACCAAAGGGACACCACTGAGAGGACCCTGTTTGGGGTGGGAGAACCCTTTGTCATGGCTGACTGATCAGATAGGCAAGGTTCACAGGATTCATGTGCAGAAGCATTTCATGGGCTTTGTTTCATGTGATGCTCAGAGCAGTCAGAGGACGTGGAGAGTAAAATTATCCCCTTTATTAGCAATAAGGAGTCTGGAGTTATTGATGTTCAATACATCCCCCAGCACCTGCTAATAAATGATGAAGACTCAAAGCCAGGTCTGCTGGTCCCCTGGTTTCATGTTCTGACGTCACTTCCCCTGCTCAGTTGTCTCAGCAGCACAGAACTGCGTCATGTTGAAAAGAGGGCTGGCCAGTAGGATCTTCCTAAAACCTGATCAGTTCAAGCAACTCCCTTGCTAAAAGCCTTGCTTCCCATTCCACCTAGTAAAGTCAGGAACCGTGAGACCCAGTATTCTGTTGTCGTTGCTAGGTAGCCTAAGTCCAACAGAATAAGACACTGTCTGGTCCTGCACCTTCCTCACAATCTTTCCGTTTGAGCTACCGTTGAAGCCATTGTGTCAACGCATCTCCTTAAGGATTTTCCTCTTTTTTTTTTTTTTTGCTATCCTCCCTCCTATTTTACCAAGCATGATGCCCTTCTCTAGGAACGAACCTCTTCTGATAACATGTCCAAAGTATGTGAGACAAAGTCTTTTTCAGCTGTACTTTATCCAAGGAAGATCTGTTTGTTCTTTTGGCAGCCTGTGTGTGGGTGGGTGGATGGATGGTTGGATAGCTAGATAGCTAGCTAGATGATAGATAAATAGACAGATAGATAGATAGATATTCTTCAGTTGCACCATAATTATTGGCCAGTCAATATTCTTCACCAGCACCATAATTCAAATACATCTATTCTTCTCCAGTATTCCTTATTCAGTGTCTAACTTTCACGTGTACACGAGGGATTGGAAATGCCATGGCTTGGTTAATGTGCACCCTAGTTCTCAAAGTCACGTCCAAGTATTGCACCTATGTACACATCTCTTATCACCCAGCTTACCCTCCACCCATTTTACTGCCATACCATTTCCCATCCTCCGGCTACTGGGGCCTTCTTTCAGTTCTGCCCGTGAACCAGGCTCTCTGTCACCTCATGTGAATAGATTATAGGACATTTTGTATTTCCACTGCCTAAGTCCTGGAGTGGACCATTTCACCAAGGAAACTCATTTCTTTCACTAGGGAGTGATGTTTAGAAACAAATTTAGTTTTCTAGGTCTAATGACCACTTCTGGATTCCCATTGCTTCAATGTCCTCTGAGGGGGCATCTTCGGGTGGGGTGCGTGATTCTGACTACCATGTACTTTGTACTCAGACTTTTGGAATACCCCTCCCCGAGCACACACTCATGCACATCTGTGTATCTCTTTCTTTCTCCCTATCTATTTAATCTATCTATCTATTCATCCACTTACCCACCCACCCATCTATCTATCCATAGTCATGATTTTAAGTGAATACTCTCAATTTCTATTCAACACACAGGGTTTGCTCTAACTATCCTCCTTTCTACATTTGCAACCCCTGTGAGAAACCTGGTTCTCATTATTGTCAATGAATACTTACATGAGGAGGCAAATTAACTGAAACATTTTCCGTGAACTTTTTGAAGCTTCCTTGTATATTCGATTTCTGCTTTGTGACCCAGATCCCAATGTATCGGCTCAAAAGTTGGCCCCTCACATGCCGGATTCCCCCTCCACCCGACTCAGGCCTGCCTTCTTAAAGCTTAGCCCAGTGAGGAAGAAGGGAGGAGGAAGACAGAAGGTTAAATGATCAGATAACAAATGAAAGGATGAAAGGCGCACGCTAGCCTGTCACAGTGACCAGGAGGCTGGCAGAAGACGTGGGGCTCCTGGGTTAGAGACCAAGGACTGTGAAGGTTCAGCAGCCGAAGAAGCTTCTGTGCGTGTGTGTGTGTGTGTGTGTGTGTGTGTGTGTGTGTGTTGGTTCTCTTTTTCTTCCAAAAGTCAAGTGATGAGCCAGAGGGGCTCAAGGGATGAGCCAGAGGGATGAGCCAGAGGGGCCCAGATGCAGTGTGCACAGTGACTTTGTGTCATATGTAAGGAACCATATTCTTTTATAATGGGGTGGGAGCAAGCCTCCTTGGCCTCTGGTCATTGCCCAGAAGCAAACCTGTCCTCTATTCCAGAGACTTGGGATACATTCAGTATACATAAAAAAAAAAAAAAAAGAAAAGACTGGAGCCAAAAAGCAGTTAGTGCCTCTGCTGATAAAATACGCAGAAATGTAAGTGATCTGTAGAAATTTGTCTCTAAATAGTTGATTATGGTCTGAAAACCATGAAATGGAAAACATGGTTTCCTAAAGAAATAATCATTTAGTGGTGCTCTCTAAGCTTACCTACAATGAGCCATGATAGGTTTCTGGGCTCACCATTATAGAGAATAATATTCCTGAACGTGAGAGCTGCAAGAACAGAAGCAATCTTGTCCCAGGTGAGAGGTTATTTGGTCCTCACGAGAACAAGGGAGAGGTGACATGGGATCAACATCTGTCTTGGTTATCTAGTGCTTGCAGTTACACTTTTATCACCGGTCGGTGTACAGCCACACAAAGACCACAATGGGTGGCTTTAAAGGACAGAGTGTATTTTCTCCCAATCCTGGAGTTTAGTCAAAAGCAGGATCTTAGTCATGTTCATGCCTTCCTTGTTAGCCTCATCTTTCTTCCAGGAGTGGCTGGTGAGTTTGAACTGCCCACCATGAGGTTAGCAACCCAATGCCCTGTGCCACCAGGCCACCTTATACAAGTGTAGGGGTTAGATTTACAACTCATATGTATTTGGGAGGCATAATCCAATCTATAACAGCCACCATCTGTGCTAGAAAAATGTCTGTAGTGCAAGGATATGTCTGTACAGGCACCCATTATCATCTGTGGGAGGGCACCTGGGGAACAGGTGGGTAGAGATGTCCTTGTCTTTGTGCCCTCTGTGTAGTCTCTGAGTGCTTCACCATGCATATGTAATCATTGCCCATTTAAGAGTCCAAAAACTCACTGGCCTCCAGTCAATGCTGAGGTTGGGGAAAGGGCTAAAGGGAGTCAGCCGGGTGAATGTACCTTCTCTCTCCCATTTCCTTCTTTCTTTTAAAAAAATCATTTTATTGGGGGCTCATACAACTCTTATCACAATCCAGACATCCATCCATTGTGTCAAGCACATTTGTACATTTGTTGCCATCATCATTCTCAAAACATTTGCTTTCTACTTGAGCCCTTGGTATCAGCTCCTCATTTTCCCCCTCCTTTCATTTTTCCCTTCCCCCGTGAACCCTTGATAATTTATAAATTGTTATTATTATTTTGTCATATCTTACACTGTCTGATGTCTCCCTTCACCCATTTTTCTGTTGTCCATCCCCCAGGGAGGGGGTTATATGTAGATCATTGTGATCAGTTCTCCCTTTCTACCCCACCTTCCCTCCACCCTCTTGGTATCGCCACTCTCACCCCTGGTCCTGAAGTGATCATCCGTCCTGGATTCCCTGTGTTTCCAGCTCCTAGCTGTACCAGTGTACATCCTCTGGTCTAGCCGGATTTGTAAGGTAGAATTGGGATCATGATAGTGGGCGGGGGAGGGAAAGGAATCATTTAAGAACTAGAGGAAAGCTGTATGTTTCATCTGCACCCTGACTGGCTCATCTCCTCCCTGAGGCCCTTTTGTAAGGGGATGCCCATTTCCTTCTTGACTTTGCCTTCTTCTCATAGCCTCTCCTCCCTCCTTTAAGAGCATGCACGTCATTCATCAGACCGCCCGCACGGGGGCAGTCTGTGCGTCATCATGTGATCATCGTGATTATTGGGCCCTGGCCTAAAACACGCCCACCTTTACCTTTAGGTGACCAGGTGGCCCGTGGGAAATCAAGGGCTGCTGTACGACCGGAGCTGGATGGTTGCGAATCACAACGGAATTTGCCTGAGTCAGAAGCAGGAGCCCCGACTCTGCCTGATCCAGCCCTCCATTGACTTGCGGCAGAAGATCCTGGTGCTCCAAGCCAAAGGTGTGAAAGCCGAGTTCACAGTTACAGAGCCTCTGTCGCGAGTGGTTGATGCTGGGGTAATTGTTCCCGCTGGCCTTTATTGAGCAGCTTTAATAACCACACAGAAAATACAATGGTGTTCCCTCTGCCTGGTATGAACATCGTCCTAAAGAAGGAGATGCTGTCTGGTCTAGGAGAGACAACAGAAAACATATTCCCTTGTGTTTCAGAAAATCCCTAGGGATCAAGGAACTCTCTGACGGTCCAGTGAGGAAGTAAAGAGGTGTCAGTTGTGGAATGAAATGCTGTCCTTTCATTAACATCCCCCTTCTGTCCGCTGCTCACCATGATGTGTGGTGCAGCGTCCCCTCTTCCTTGGTGACTTTCATTATGAAACAGCTGACATAGGAAAATACTTTGTCCAATAGAACTTCCTGTGATGCTGGAACTATTCTATGCCTGCCCTAATTTATAGCCACTGAGCATTTTTAAATCTCGATTGTAAATAAGTCATATATTAGTTTCAGGAGAATTTCAATGACTTGATAGTAAGCCTTTATAAGTATTCTCTCCATCATGACTACTATAATGATTCCAAAATTAATATTTTCCAGGAAAGTTTGGTAATTAATATTTTATTGGAGTCTTATGTGTAGGATCTTTTCCCCCATTAAATGTTTCAGTTGGTCATCGATGCTTATAGAAACACTACTGTCTTAATCAGTAAGATTTTTTGAAGTCCTATTAGCCTTATTAGTTGGTCTGAATATTTTTGTACATGTTTTATGAAAATGAGCATCTTGTCTTCGTTGGGATAGTTTTATATCTGTCTCTACAGTTTTAATTTGTTTTTGCATATCTTACTGCATGGCTATACCTTCTTGAACAGTATTGACTGGAAGCAGTAAAGGCAGGCATTCTTCTTTATTACTGACTGATGGACTGCTAAGGAGCCCTCGTGGCAATGTGGGTGATGCATGGTCCTGCTAACTATAAGGCTGGTGGTTCAAATACACCAGTCACTCCATAGGAGATACTCCTGTAAAGATTTACAGAAACCCAAAGAGACAGTTTTACTTTGTCTTATAGGGTCTCTGTGAGTCAGAATTGATTGAACTTCAACAATAAGAATAATGCATATTATAGGGCTTTGATACATTTGCTTTACCACGCTAAAAAAGATCTTTCCTGTTCTTATTTTGCAAACATTCTTATTGTGATCAATATTTATTGCTAAATGCTTTTTATGTATCTGCTGATTATCAGGTTTTCCCCTGCTCTGATCTATGAATGAAGGAGCCATGCTGGCATCATGGTTACAAGTTGTACTGCTGACCGTCCCTGTTGGAAACCATCCAGGACCAGGCTTTCTACTGCAGGAAAGAGTGACGGTCCCAGAAACCCACAGGGGCAGTTCTGCCCTGTCCTATAGGGGCTATGTCAATTGGACTCAATTGGCTGGCAGTGAGTTTGGTTGAGTTTTGGTAAATCTAGCCATGTGGTACATTGCATTCGTAGATTGTCTGATAACTGAACTAAACTTGCACGATTGAGGACAAGCTATTTTCTGTGTGTGCTAGATTTGGTTTGCCTTTCATTGTCACTGCTGCGGGGTGGGGAGGGATCTCTTTTCATAGTGAGACTGCTATGTGACCTTTTTATTGTACTGTACTCTTCTTTGTCCAAGACCTACTATCCAGGATATTAACATATTCACAGAATTGAGTGGATTAAACCCTTTTTTAGTCTCGGAAACATGTACCATGACCAACCTTCTCCAAACTTCTAGAGCATGCTGGGTAGGGAAGCTCCTTCTCTAGCCTTTCTCACCCGGGACAGGAGAAAGGGGCTGGCTATGCATGAGCAGGGCTCGGGGCTCATAGAATAGCTGTTGTACCAACTGCTGCTTCCCGGTGTCCCCGGAGGTGAAAGGCCTGCTGTGGTGGGCATGGGGCCGGGCAGCCGGAGGGCTCTGAAGTTCAAGGGCAGGAGTGGATGTAGCTTGCAGGGCTGTGCTGTATGTGATGGAGCAGCACCCAGACCAGCACGGGCACATGCAGCCATGGCATAGGCTTCCTTGAGTGGTGGGCTGGGTTGGCTAGAGGTGGTGCTGAAAGAGCCGGAGGCCCCAGGGCTCTGCACCAGGGTGCCTTGCTTCTGATTGCTCAGAGTTGTTGGGCCCTCTGCTCAGTCTGCGCAGATGTCTCTGATTCGTGTCTTCTCGTGTATTTTAATGGCTCGGGGAGAGTGAATAGGAGTGCTGTGTGACTGGAGTTGAAGCAGGTCCAGCTTTTACCCAAGATTTTTTTTCAATCCTTTAGTGTCTTCTGCATATTAAAGAATGAACACTACTTTAGCTGGGTAGTATATATGTGAATGCTAATTTTATTATTATGTCTAAGCACACAGGCCAAGGATAACTGTCCGTGCTCACTGACACAGAGTTTTTAAAATTTTTAATCAATAATGATGTTTGATGAAGGAATCCAATTAGATGCTGACTAATAGAGGCTTCTGGAGATTGATACTCTGTGCTGAGAACTTTATTTCATGAGCCACCAGGCTTGCTTGTCTGTTTCTGAAGGACTTAAGGTGTTACTATTGGGTGCCATTGAGGCAGTGGTTCAACCCTAGGCACAACAGAGTGAAACACTGAATGACCCTGCACCATCCGCACAACTGCTCCTATGCCTGTGCCCACTGATGCAGCCATTGGGTCAATCCATCTCATTGGTGGCCTTCCTCTTTTTCGCTGCCCTTCCTCTTTACCAAACATGATGTCCTTCTCCAGGGACTGGTATCTCCTGACAATATGTCGAAAGTATGTAAGACGAAGTCTTGTCATTCTTGCCTCTAAGGAGCACTCTGACCGCACTTCTTCCAAGAGACATTTGTTTGTCCATTTGGCAGTCCACAGCACTTTCAATATTCTTCTCCAGCACCACAATTCAAATATATCAATTCATCTTTGGTATTCTTTATTCAATATCCAACTTTCACATGCCTAGGCAGCAATGGAGAATACCATGGCTTGGGTCAGGCACACCTTCATCCTCAAAGTAGCATCTTTGCTTTTTAATACTATACAGAGGTCTTGGGCAGAAGATTTACCTAATGCAACATGTCTTTTGATCTCTTGACAACTGCTTCTGTGAGCATTAATTGTGGATCCAAGGAAAATAAATCTTTGACTTCAGCCCTTTCTCCATTTAGCATGATGTTGCATATTGGTCCAGTTGTGAAAATGTGGTCTTATTTACTTGGAGTTGTAATCCATACTGAAGGTCGCAATTCTTGAGCCTCATTGGCAAGCACTTCAAGTCCTCTTCCCTGTCAGTAAACAAGGTGTGTCATCTGCCTAACACAGTTGTTAATATGCCTTCCCCTAATCTTGGTGTCACATCCTTCTTATGATCTAGCTTCTTTGATGATTTGTTCAGCATATAGATTGAATAAGTATGGTGAGTGGATACAACCCTTTGTACATCTTTCCTGATTTTAAACCATGAAGTGTTCCCATGTGCTATTATCACAACTGCTTCTTGATCCACGTACAAGTTCTGCAGGAGCACAATGAAGTGTTCTGGAATTCCCACTTTTCTCAAGGTTATCCCTAGCTTATTGAGGTCCACACAGTTGCTTGCCTTTGCATAGGCAAAGGATTTAAGGAAGCTTATCACATAATGACCAGGAGCCTTGGTGGCATAGTGGTTATAGGTTGGGCTGCTAACTACATGGTCAGCAGTTCAAAACCACCAGCTGCTATAAGGGAGAAAGACGAGGCTTCCTACTCCCGTAAAGAGTTACAGTCTTGGAAACTCACAGGGGCAGCTCTACCCTGACCTGTAGTGTCACTGTGACCGAGAATCGACTTGAGGGCAGTGAGTTTGGTTTTGACCCTATAATGCGGAGCCCTGGTGGCGTAGTGGTGATGCATGGGGCTGCATATGCAGCCAGATAGTAGTGGTTATGCCACTAGCCACTGTGAGGGGAAAAGACAGGACTTTCTACTCCTCTAAAGAGTTACCGTCTCAGAAATTCACAGGGTGCAGTTCTACCCCATCCTAGAGTTGGCGTCAGTTCGATGGCGGTGAGTTGAGTGAGTGAGGGATTACAGTGACTTCCACAGGCCGTATGTGGAGCCACTCAGAAGTAGAGACATCTTTCAAGAGGCTGTTGGAAGCATCCCTGGGTCTGTGTACGTGACTGTGGCAGTGCAGGGCCCTCTAGAAGAGAGCTAGCTGCTGGTGCACATGTTCGTGACGGGCCTGGGAAGGATGAGGAGAAGCCGTGAGTGATGGAAAGGTTGCCAATCTTCCACCACGTCCTTGATTCAGCCCAGTTCCCGTGCCGTGGAAATCTGGTCCAAATCCACAGTGATGGGCGTGTCATTACACACTTCTCTTTGGCATGATGGTCGATTCATCTCTAACTTGTGTTCATTAGGAATGGAGCCTATAGCACTACCTCTCGAGGACAACCACGGCCGGGCTCAGATTTGCCAGAGCAAGGTCTGTGCAGACAGGTAAGGCTTGGCAGCAGGTGAAAGTCTCAGCTCCACCTGCCCGGGGAGAGGCGGCTATGCCCTCGATGGGCTTCCCCCGACATCCCGTCTCCTGCCGCTTTCCCCCTTGCTCACTTGGACCCTTGCCACCCTGGTTCTTCGGTGTTTTTCAAACCTGCCAAGCACGTTCCTATCTCAGGTCTTTGCACTCACTCTTCCCTCTGCCAGGACGGCTCTTCCTTCACTGATCACTCTACCTGCTCACTCGCTCACTCTTCAGGTCTCTGCTCCAACCCCCTTCAGAGGCGCTACCCGACCACCTGCAGAAATCAGCTCCTCTCTCTGTTTGCCCACTGAATTCTTCTCCTTCTTATTGATTATGTCCTGGCTGGCTGCTATCTGCGTGTGTGTTTTCATCCCCTCCCGTGGAAATGCTAACTCAGAGGAGGCCGGGCTGTGCCTTCCTTGCTCAGCGGCATGTCTGGCCCCACATTGGGTGCAGAGTATAATGCGAGAGGATGGAGGAAGCCAGGAGAAGAGTGGGCGAAGGCCCAGTGGAGGCACGTTGGGGGCTGGGATGAGGTAGTCGAGGTTGAGGTGGTCAGGGAAGAGACCTGATCTGCACATTAAAAGACTGCCTGGTGGGTCTAGAGTAGTTGCAAAGGGCACCCGTGGACAGGCCAGCTGAGCACCTGTGCTTGGAACTCAGGGGAGACATGCTGGAGGCCTGGACCAGGGTCAGAGAAAACATCAGCCAGGGTGGGAGACGAGAGGCATTCAAGAAAGTTTGTGGAAAAGTGGAAGAAAGTGGAATTTTCCCAAGAGCTCTTTGAAGGCCCCTCGATTATTTTCTGGAAGTGGAATCACCTGGATTCACTGGTGGATTGGATGCAGAGGCTGAGGCTAATGAGGGAACCAAGATGCCCCTCAGGCCTTTGAGCAATAACTTCCAGGTGATAACTCAGGACTTGCCTTCCACCTAGTGGTGAACTATTACCTAGTTTGTGTTCCTGATGCCAAGTCATTTGCTAAATTTCAGAAGATGTTGAAAGTGGGATGGTCGAAACGGGCGACAGTTGGAATCGGTGTAAGGCAGAAGCCCGTCAGAGAAGGAAAATGCAAAATGTTTTCCACTGAAATGAACGTCAGAGATGTGCTAGCCTCCCCCCCCCCCCCGAAACCTGTGAGAGCTGGAAAAACAAGGCAGCCCCTCACATCCTGGCTCTCACAGGCTCCGCTGTAACCGTGTGCCTGCTTTCGTGCTTCATGGCAAATGCTCATCTCCCCTAGATCCTTCATGGAACGAACCAAACACCCGCCTCTCTGCTCATCGAAACCCACCTGTACCTGCAAACGTGTACAATAGTGAGTTTTCCAGGTCTAACTGTCCAGTTGGTTACTGGTTCAGTTCCCAACCAATCCTCTTACAAGCTACAAAATCAGTTCACTGTGTGCTGAGAATATATAGATCCTCAAAAGGTTTTAAATGCTAATGACTTCATTAGTTTTCCTATAAACTAATTAGGCTCCCTACTAGACTAATTAGTACGTAGGCTCAGTAAATGGTCATCCTGTACAACAGCAAATCAGATGACATTGCCTTCTGGACTGCCATGACATATACATTAACACAGTCATGAAACAATGCGTTATAGTCTTAAATTATGTGCCAATTGGACTTACGTTGTGAGTGCAGGGGCTGGGGAGCAGCTGTGAAGGGTGACACCATCAGGGAAGGGGCAACAATGATTGTCCCCGGCCAGCTATAGACTCCCCCTGGTGGCCCAGGGGCTGAGCACCACCTCAGCCTCTTGCCAGGGCCTGTGCCGGAGGAAGCGTTTGTCCTGCACATGTTCAGTGACATGGCGAGTGTAGTAACCAGTGCCGCACAGTGCCTTAGCACATCTCCCTGGCAGAGAGTGACGGCCACCGAGAGAGGCCTGCAAACTCACGGCATTTCGCTTGGCTGCATCGGCGTGGGTGCCGTTCTCTGTCTAACCAGGCTGGCCGGATGAGGAGAGCAGTTTATTTGTGGGGCCACTGAGGACTCCACAAAATGAAGGTGGACTTTGGCGCGGCCTCTCGGAGCCTAGGAGAGAGTGTGCTACCACGGGCTCCCCTGCCCTGCCCCAAACAGGAAGGCCACAATTTTTTTTAATAGTAAAAATTAAGAAAAAGGTAGGTTTTCAAAAGTATCTATGTTGCTCTCCTATGGTTGAGTGTTGTGATTTTGTCAATTCAGGTGATGGGTGTGGGATAGGGCCTCTACGAGTCAGAATCCACTCGATGGCAGCGAGCTGGGTGTATTATAAAACGTCTAGAAGATCGCAGATTTAAAAACCAACACCAGGAATCAAATCCCTCAATGTGTGGGTATCGATCGTGTAAGGCATGGTGTTCTTTGTACAAACCACAAACGTTAGCCCAGAGGGCTTGAAGGAGAGAGAGACAATATTACAGCGGGGCTCAGAGTCAAGAGGCGGGGCCCCATCCGTGTTCCCAGGCTCCTGAAAGCCAACCTGGCTCCGGCAGGTCTCAGATTCCAAGCCGGCTGGCTCTCAGGGGCCACATGCAATCCAGATAGGACAAACTTCTACGGTGTGTTGCTGTTACGAGTGCTGCTGTGTCATCGTCAACTCAACAGCCCACGTGACAGAGTAAACTACATCCAGAATCAGCGGTTCTCAACCTCCCTCATGCCTCGACCCTTTCATACAGCTCCTCATGTGGTGCTGACCCCCCACCCATAACATTATTTTCATTGCTACTTCATCAGTGTCATTTTGCTACTGTTATGAATTGGGTGACCCCTGTGAAAGGGTCGTTGAACCCCCAGGGTGAAAACCGCTGCTCCGGATCACCTGGCCTTTCCCCCAAGAACCAGCCTGTGGGTGGGTTCAAGCCCCCGGCTGCTGATTGCCAAACTAACGGCGGCTCTGCCGGCACTCCTGCTACAGCTTTTGGTCGGCTCTGAAAGTCTCATGGAAGCCCCAGCCCGTGTGTGTTCTGATGGCGTGGCAATCTCTCCAGGTCTTTCCAGTCACACCTGTCACCTCTCCTGAGGGGCTAGCACAGGGCAGTTTTTGTTTCTTTTATAATCAAACTTAAATAAAATTAAAAAAATTATTTAAAGAAATACCTAATACTCACTCTTTGCTCACCCCCTCACACACACGTTTTTTTTCTTGGTACCAGGGTAAATACGTACGACTGTGGAGAGGATGTTTCTAGATGGCTGTCAGAGCTTTTGGGCCGTCGGTGTCATTTGATCAAACAAAGTTCAAACTTCCAGAGACACGCGAAGAAGCAGCATGGAAAAGGTACCCCGTTTTCGGGTTCTTTGGGGCAGGACCCTGGGTTGATCTTGCATACCGTCAAAAGCAGTTGGAGCCCTGGACTCACAGAGAGCCGAAGGTGTGTGCTTACAGCGAGCAGGGCTGGCAGCCGGCCCTTGGCAGGGAGCTGCTGGAGCAGCTGCAAGGTTCGCAGGATGCAGGGCCGCCATGGTCGCTTTCAGGGGACCTTGAGCCCCCTGCCTGGCTCCTCTCAAGCCTCAGCCTCAGTTCATTTTTAGAAGCACAGTTCATTTTGATCAAATGAGAACGTTGGTAGGTTTCTGTGTCCTCAGATCCCATCTGGGAGCAAGCAAACCTGGGTTTCTAGAGCTGGCTCCAGGATCGCCTTGTTGTAAGATCTTGGCAAGTCGCACCTTCTGGTGCCACAACTCTAGAACTCAACCAGTTTTCTGTCGCCCTCCACCAGGTCGACTTCTGGACGCTTTGACAATTGTTCCTGACCCATTGCTAAGGTGCAGTCACACAGTAGACAGGAAAGTACTTTGAAAGCTAAGAGTGACATGTGTACAGGAAAGACGGTTTGGGGCTGGCTGCTCAGTTGTCCCGGGGTTGGCACTGCAGCCCCAGCTCCTTCTCTGGTTTATTCCTCTCTGCGACACGCCTCACCCCCCACAGGCCTTGGCCTTCCTCCTCCTGGAAAGTCAGCTCCATGAGATTTGCTTGTTTTGCTGAACGCTGTGTCCTCCGTGCTCAGATCAGCTCCGGTCACGGTGGCTGCTCAGTAAATGTTAGAGGAATGAGCAAACAGATGACCGCACTGTTACTGCCTGTGTTGGAGTGGGATGGCCTGGCCTAGTGGCCATCTCCCAGAAAGCCTGACCTGTCAACCAGAACAGCGCCTGACCACATGCAGACCATTGCTCTTAGTGCCGCGAGCGGATTCGGATTCGGCTCATAGCGACTCCACACGACAGAGTGGAGCTGCCCAGAAGGGTTACGTCATGGCTTTTTCTCTCACAGAACCACCTGGTAGGTTCCGCCCCCACAACCTCTCTGTTAGCAGCAGTGCTAACCACTATGCCACCGGGTGTAAGGACCTGCCAAAGTTAACCTATGCACCTTAAAAAGGCGTGCCTATAGAGGACAGCTAGAGGATATGGATTCTGTAGACTTTTAAAATGGGACCGTTTCCTGCTTTACCTTGTTAAAGAATTTGAGCCTCTGTGTTGGCAAAGGGGAGTGTGTGATGGCTGCCGTGTTGGGGAGGTGAGCGGTGCTGTCAGGCCTGAGTAAGACCAGGGACCGGAGCAGAAGGGAGAGAACATTGGACATCCACCCGGGACTGGGATTCCCAGATCCGATGTCGTCTGGATGAATTATCTGGAAAGGGAGTGCCTGTGAACGCTAATGCTCCAGTTGTTCAATCGAGTGTCTCCTGTTTACCTAGGAGAAAGCCTGGTAGTGCTGTCCGATAAACATTGGTCTGCTGGCCAAAAGGCTGGCAGCTCAAAGCCACCAGCAGCTCCCCAGGAGAAAGGAGGGGCTCTCTGCTCCTGTAAAGATTTGCAGCCTTCCTAAGGTTATTAGAGTCGGAATCAACTTGATGGCCGTGGGGTGAGTAATTACCTGGAGCGTGGCTGACTTGATTAAGCCGTGGTCATCCCAGTTCTTCAGGGTCTCGGTTTAGGTGGCAGACGGTGACAGTATAATTGATAATTGAGGTGTGATAATGGTCTGTACAGGGGGCAGGGAGCGTGCACTTCCATGGGAAACTAAGGCTTCCTGAAGAGGCCAATTTAGAGCTGCATCAGACCAGGAGAGTAGGAGGTTTCCTAGCAGGCAGGCAGAGTCAGGGCTTGGCATGTCCTGGGTTTAGAGATGAGTTTAGGAGGGGCAGGGGCAGGGGAGAGATGGGAGGATGCACACGTGAGCCTCTGAGGAGTGAGCTTCTGATGACGCTTCCGTTGCCAGGGACTCCTGGAAGAAGGCTAAGCCGGGGAGTCCCCTGAGGTCACTTGTGTTAGAAGGACACTCAGCATGGTGTGGAGGGAGTTTGAGGGGGGCAGCAAAGGACTGGGCAGGAGAGGGCGGTGGCAGCCTTTGTGGGACAGGAACTACGGTGGTAATCACAGAGACAAGAATAACATCTGCTGCCGGGGTGCAAGGGTGCTGCTTAGGGTGGGAAGCTGAGATTCCAGGGCTTCAAACATTTTGCCTCAGTACTGCTTAGAAAAAAACTCAAAGCTATAGTATGATCTAAATTAAAATATCTATTTATTTATTTTACAGAGTATCTAGTCAGACTGAGCCACTGGCAGATCTGCTGTAGCCACAGGCAAGAGTTTCCAACAGCCTTGCTATCAGGCAGAGACCACGAAAGTTTACAGAAGAGATCATGGTTTTACATGCAACAATCCCACATGTTTAGTTTCACCTCAGTCATTGTAATCCCCTTGCGTGTCCCTTGTGTGTCCCACTTCCTTCTTGGGTTCCCATTTCTGTTTCCCAAGCAGGCACATATTGGAGACTGGCGTGCATAGGGCTGTGTCAGACACAGCTGGGGGAACCTTGGTACGGCAGCAGTTTGATTCCCTTGAGGATCCATTTAAAAGAGTCATAGGTATTCACAAAGTATTTTATAATGGTCATTTACGTCTCTCCTTTTTCTTAAAAAAAAAATTCTACTTTACTTCTTGGTGAGGTCTTATCTTCGTATTATATATTTCATTAGTGAAATTTTCTGATCACCCTATCACGTTTCTCAGAACCTAAAATGTATCTATAAATTGTGATGCATATAAACAGTTTGAACATTTACCCTGAGTATAAGGGTCTAAGTGTTAGGAAATTTCTTCTGGATACCTGTGATCGTTTTTAGTAGTAGTTAATCAAAGCAACACATTTTACTATCAATTTTGAAAGATTATCACTACACGATAAGTGAAAAGTTATTGAAATTAGTCTCTTAATAATATGGGTCGAGCCCTGGTGGCAGAGTGTATACTTGTTAGGCTGTAATCCACAAGATCTGTAGTTCAAAACTACCAGCTGCTCGATTGGAGAAACACAAGATTTCTACTCCACAAAGAGGTACAGTCTTGGAAACCCATGGGGCTAGTTCTACCCGGTCTGCTAAGGTTGCTATGTGTCAGAATGGACTCCATTGCTGTGAGTTTTTTTTTTTTTAATGATATGGGTGGCTGCCCTTTGGGTCCCATCTCCATGAATGACTGTCGCCCAGGGTGAGAAGACCTACGGTCAGCACTGGTTCTCTGTGGAGAAACCTTCTGTGTGTCACTAAAGATCAGGAGTGGGTGTAGTTTGCAGGGGTGAAGGAGTTTGGCTAACCCAAGGTCACTGTGTTACACTGGATTCCTTCTGAATCACATGACCTGAAGCCCAGGGATCTACGTGACATGACTTTAATCACTTGTCACTTGATGGCGGCAAAGAACTGGACTCGACCTGACCCACAGGGGGAATGGCCAGTCAAGCTTCCGACACTTTATTTTCTCTGCCCAGACTCCTGGGTTTGAATGGGGCTTTGGCTTTCCACCCCAGAAGGGCTTATCCCCCAGAATGGGCAAAGGACCTTTTGTGGACGGAACGGAACTGGGGTCCCACCTCCATCTCCGGCAAAGTCATTTTAGCAAGAAGGACTTTGCAAGTGGCCATCTGGAGAGTGATTCCCTCCCTCTCCCTCTCTCTCTTTTGGAGGAGTACACTTGCACTTTATTTATTTAATATTTATGGCTCATCTTGCACTTTTATTTTTTTCCCCCCAACAGTTTCATTGACGAGTGATTTCCATATCATATAATTTAATAGTTCAATCATATCAAGGAGAATTGTACAATAACCACCCCCCCATGGTTAAATCGCCTTTAAGAGGAGTTATGCAATCATAACCCATTCTAGTGCCCCCTCCCCCTCCCATCCTCAGCATTTACTCCCCAAATCCCCTTTCCCTCCCTATCATCCACCCCCCACCCCTGTGCAACCACTCCTCTGTGCTTCACAGCTGGGAGACCCAACAGAAAACAATAAAAAACAAAATCGTGCTAAAGTGGTAAGGATAAAAACATAAGAGTATATGGACAAAATTACAAATGATGTGCAAGAAGGAAAAGACCCCCCAAATATTCAAAGAGCCAGGGAAGAAATGCCTGTCATGGAACCAGTAAGAGAGACTCACACCCAGAACAGATTCAGGCCGAGGCTATAGGGTGATAAATCGGCCAAGTGTCAAGTTCAATCCAGCATAATCAAGATTCCAATGGTCTCCAAGTGATAGTAAGGCTGTTGGAGACTCTTTCCCGTGGCTGGAGCAGATCGGCCAGCGGCTCAGTCTGACATGCTCTGCAGAGGGGTTTGGGCTCTCACCAACCTCCACAGCTTTCTACAAACTGGGCGTGTTTTGAAGCTTTTCGCCTCACCATATTCATATTCTGTAATTGTCATCTTTGGACACACAAGCTGGTGTGCTTTACCTGTGTGGACTTAGTTGACTCCCTGCTTAGATGGCTGCTTGCTTGATTACAAACCTTTAAGGCCCCAGACCCTATTCTGATTGATAGCCAGGCACCATCTGCTTTCTTCACCACACTTTGCTGTAACATCCTTAACTTCAGTGATCCTTTCATGAAGGTGAGCATTGAGCAGGGCCGTGATAGAAGAACTGATTTTTCTTAAGTTGGAGCTAAGGTTTAGTGTGAGCCCCAAACCCATCCCTGGATCTATGCCTTTAAAAAAAAAAAAAACAATTGCTGTAACTTGGGAGCCAATACATATGACATATCATTCCATAGTACAATCATGTCAACCATGACTGTACAATTTCTTCTATAAACATACATGTTTTCCACAATATCCTTTTCCTTCCTGCACTTCCTGACATAATTTCCCACTTATCTCCCCTTCCCCTCTTTACCTCCTTTCCCCCAAATCCTTGTTCTATTTTCTTTCCCTGTTGGGTCAACATCCCTGGGTTTCATTTATCTAAAAATAAAGAAAGAAATCACACAGCTTCAAGAGCGTGAGCCCCAATGGAGAGTGATTCTCTTATAACTTTCTATTCTTATGTCCACTCGGGTCTATAAAGTGGGCTTGAAGGAAGCTCAGCCACCCTCTTTATTTGCCTTGCATAAACACAGGCACCCAGGAGTACAGAGGCTAATGGGTCAACACGGTGAGAGGTGCTACCAGCCAGGAGAGGGAAGCCAGAGACAGGCTGTCCATGGTTCCAACTGGCTCTGGGTATTTTCTTTCAGTACTTTTGTTTGCTTGTTTCCGTAACTGTCGTATTTACTTCTAAGGTTAAGTGCTGGTTACTTACCCAAGAATGAAGAGCTTTATACAGGTTTCATTCATAAAGTCTGTCAAAGGCCCCCAAATAATAATTTATAAATTATCAAGGGCTCAGGGGGGAGCGGGGAGCAGGGAGGGAGGGGAAAAATGAGAACCTAATGCCGGGGGCTTAAGTGGAGAGGAAATGTTTTGAGAATGATGAGGGCAATGAATGTACAAATGCGCTTTACACAATTGATGTGTGTATGGATTGTGATAAGAGTTGTATGAGCCCCTAATAAAATGATAAAAAAAAAGTCTGTCAAAGCCCCTCTTACTGCTCTGCCCTGGAGAAGGGCCCCCACTCCACTCAGTCACCCCATCTGAGTGTCATATCCAAGTCTTTTTGCTGGCATGCTTATTGATTGATCCACTGATTGATTGATTCAGAGGGTATTAGACAGAGTATTCTAGGAACTCATTTTCCTTTCCATGTACAAGAGGCATGAGCCAGGCTTAGAGCATTTTTGTTATTGCCAGAGCCATTTCTTCTCTTACAGAATTAGTCTTTCCTTTAAAAAATGCAAGTCCATGGAAGCCAGCTTTCCAGGAACGCATCTTTAAAATGCTCCTTTGATTTCAGATCAATCTCCTGGAACAACAGCCAGCCTTTCATTAGTAAATGAAGCCCAGTATCTACTGCTCAACCGATCAAGTGTTTTGGAACTTCAGCACCAACTAAGTGCTAGGTAAGATCTCCTACCTCTGGACAGAGCCTGATGTGTATATGGTCACCTGGTGTCTGAGGCTGGGCTTCCTAGAGAAGCAAAATGAGTGACACTCCTGTGTGTGTGTGTGTGTGTGTGTGTAGAACTATGAATATGAATATAGACATCCATAGCGAGGCTTATATAAGGAAAATAGCTTATACAGTTGGAGAAGGGAACAACTCCACGTCAGGGCAGGTTTTAAGTCTATGGGTCAGCTGTTAGGCTGCAGGTTCCCTTGACTCTGGCAGCTGCTGGAGGGGATGAATTCAAGATTGGCAGGAAGGTAACAGGCTGGTGCCCCGAGGGAGATGGGCACCAGAAGGTGAGCTCATAGGCTGCTGACGGGGACAGGCCCAGCCCACCAGATGGCAGGCCGCTGGCTCAGTTCCAAAGAACCGGAGGCCATGTGCAGAATTCAGATCTAGCCAAAAGTAAGCAAGCTCTTCTACTTATATAATAAGCAGGCCATATCACTGAGAAAATGCCCTTTTAATTGATTCTGTCGGGGCTGAGATCTGGTTGAGGATGTTGTTGATCACTCTAATCTTCTTACACCTGGTTGGCTGTTCCTAGCATATATTATTATGGAGGTGATCGTGTCAGGTAGGTCAGGTCAGGGAGGATTACTCAGTCTGAACTGCCAAACCACTGAGAATCCTGGTCCAGCCAAGTTGACACAAAACGTAACTATCACACCTGCTTTCCGAAGTCCTTCATCACTCGAGATAAATGGACTCACCCTTGGCATGGCCTACTGCGCTTCAGGCCCTGGAGAGAGAGTTATACCCCATCAATTGGCGCCTGATAGGTACCTAGCAATTGATGGCTTGACCTCACATTTGTGGTGAAAGCTTGTCCTACCATTCAGGCCACAGGGCAAAGTAGAATTGATAAAAGGCAGGCAGGTTGAACCATTACAACAGAGCCATGATCTCCTCCCTCCTCTTTTCAATTCTGTGTCTTCAACAGTAATGAGAATGGAAAGGAGGAGTTATTCCCACTGAGTGATCTCATCTTGCGTTTCCGGGCCAATATTGTGATCAATGGGACCAGGGCTTTTGAAGAGGAAAAATGGGATGAGATTTCAGTTGGTTCCCTGCATTTCCAGGTAAGCCCCAAGACGCATCAATGAAGACTGACCTGAATCCCAGGCTCTGGGTCACTATCAGCAACTTCCCTGGGGGGGAAAATGCCTGTTTCTCACCAGGGCCCTGAGGACATCACCAGAAGAGGACCCTTTTAGGGACCTTTCTGAGATGACTTCTTTGTATGGTTTCCTTTCTTTAGGTCTCTGTTCTTAAGAAATAGCAATTAATAGACATTACAATACACATATCCTTTAACCCCATGATTTCACTCGGAGAAATTTACTCTATGAAAGTACTCCTACAAGTATGTAAGACATATTCCAAGATTGTTTGCAGCAGTATTTCTGTAATTGTGAAAAATTAGGTAGGGTACACCCTCAGAGTTCATAATAGGGTGGTTGGTTAAGTAAACGACGCTATATTCATGTATTAGGTGCCCTGGTGGCGCTGTTGGGTAAGCACTTAACCGCTAACCACAGAAGTTCAAACCACCAGCAACTTCTTGGGAGAAAGATGAGATTATCTGCTCTCCTAAGGATTTATAGTCTCAGAAACCCTAAGGAGGGCCACTTTGAGTTGGAATCGGCTCAAGGGCAGTGGGCTTGGTTTGGGGTTGGCATGTTCATGTAACAGTCCTCTGTGGGCACTAAAATGGATAAGATATAGTTCCCACTGTGCCTTTCAAAGAGTCAATGCTTACAAGATATTTGTTGGTGATAACGCCCACGTTGAATCAGTTGCAGCCCGAGTCCACTTTTTAAAAAATGTCATTTTATTGGGAGTTAAGGCAGATATCAGATGATTCCATCGTTCGATCACATCAAGCAGTATTGTGCAATTGCTACCAGAATCCACTGTAAGACATTCTTTCCTTCCTGAACGCCTTGACATCAGCTCCCTTTCTCTTCTCCCTCCAGAAACCCTTATTCTACTTGCTGCCCTAGAGGTTCATCAAAGTACCTTTCTTCTGAAAGGCTCTTTCCCCTAATGTCATCCAGTCACAAATGTTTTCTACCCACAGGATTTAGAGCTTCCTTGGGAGGCTGATCTTAAGACGTGAACTATGTAAGTTAAGACACTGACACCGGTGGCAAAGTGACTGACAGTAGGCTAGCAGTGGGAACCCGGGAAGAGTCGGTGCAATGGCTGAGCACTGGGCTGCTAGCGAGAGGGTGGTGGAAGTGTGAACTCACTAGCCACTCTGCCGTGGGCAGAAGGCCTGGTGACCTGTTCCCATCAAGAGGACAGTCTAGGAACCTCTATGGGGCAGTTCTGCTCTGGTCATCTGGGGAGGGGGCTCCAGATGAGTTGGAATCAGGAACCGACAACCAAACCCAAACCCAACTTGCTGCTATGGAGACGACGCTACCTCATCAAGACCCTATAGGACCCTATAGGACCTCATCAAGACCCTATAGGACAGGGTAGAACTGCACAGGTGAGTTTCCAAGACTGTAACTCTCGATGGGAGCAGAACGCCCCATCCTTCCCCCGAGGAATGGCTGGTGGTTTACAACTGCCGACCTTGCTCTGTCTAGCTGTGCAGCCAGGGACCACTAGGTCACCAGCACCCCTTTCCTCAGGTTAAGTTCCTAGAAACGCAGTTGCTGGGCCAAAGCCCAGGAACATAAGGACACCCCTTTCTGTCTGTTTTCGGTGTGGCTGTCCCTGGTGATTGTGATAAAACAGAGCCACCATGAAGTCTGCCCCTTCAGCCATCTCAGTGAACAGTTGGGTGCGCGCGAGGCTCTCCCTGGGGCTCTCTCATGGTGGTGCAGCGTTGGCTGTTTACCGTCTCCCAACCTGCTTTCTGCCCGAGACCCCTAATGCTCCCTGAGAATTAGCTCAGATGAACACCCTCTCTTTCTTCTTTAGCTACCTCCCTGCCCCCAACAGCCTTTCTGCTGACACACAAGTGCAGCCGGCAACCAGGGGCCACTTTCTGGCTCTGCCGAGTTGAGCATTTTTGTGCTGGTCGGACTCGGTTGGGGATGGCCCCCCACGCCCATTCCCTCCCAGGCCCCGATTGTCTCTGCAAAACTCAAGGGTCTGCCCGCTCTTGTGGTAGCACCGTCTCCTTTCTTCTCACTTCCCAGGTCTTGGGACCTTGTCACAGGTGCCAGATGATTTGCATCGATCAAAAAACTGGGCAACGAAACCAAGATGTTTTCCAGAAACTTTCTGAGAGTCGGAAGAGCAAGGTAAGCATGATTCCAAACCACGGCCCCCATCTTCAGGTTCCAGTGTGTTCCTTACACCACAGTCTCACTGCCATCAAGCCAAGCCTGACGCCTAACGCCCCTCTGGGGCCAGAGTCGAACTGCCCCTGTGGGTTTCCATGACTAACTCTTCGAAGGAGTAGAAAGCTCCATCTCTGTCCTGAGGAGCGGCTGGTGGTTTTGAACTGCTTCCCTTGAATTTAGCAGCACAACTTGAAACCCACTGGAGCTCCTCTCTATGCCACGATAATGCTGAGCAACTTTCGGAATTTGGAAAGTCGTACATTCCAAAGCTAGAAGCCTGCCACGGAGACCAACAGCCTCACAATTGGACCAATAGGTCACGTCACGGTTGTTGGAGAAATGGTTGAAGTTGTCAAGGATTTTTGTCTCGCTTGAATCCACAATCAACACTAATGGAAGCAGCAGCCAAGAGAGCAAACGATGTGTTGCATTAGGTAAATCTGCTACAGAGTATGGAAGAGCAAGGTTGTTACTTTGAAGACTAAGGTGCAGCTGACACAAGCCAGGATGTTCTCTGTTGCATCATACACACGTGAAAGTCGGACGTGGACTAACGGGGGCCAAAGAAGAAAGGATGCATTTGAACTGTGGCGATGGAGAAGAATATTGAGAGTACCATGAACTGCTAACCAGACAAACCAACCTGTTTTGGAAGAAGTGCAGCCAGAGTGCTCCTGAACGGGAAGGACAGCGAGGCTTCCTCTTACAGACTTTGGGCATGTTGTCAGGAGGGACCAGTCTCCGGGGAAGGACGTCATGTTGGTAAAGTGGAGGGGTGGTGAAAAAGAGGAAGGCCCTTGAGGAGATGGGTTGACACAGGGGCCGCATCAATGAATCAGGCAGAGGGACTGTTGTGAGGAGGGCGCAGGACCGGCAGTGTTTCCCTCTGCTGTGCACAGGGTCGCTGTGGGCCGGAGCCGACCTGGTGGCACCTAATAACACCAACCACAATCTTACCCAGGGCTTCCTTCTATTTCCCCTTTCCATTCCCTTCCTCGCTTTTCCGTTTGCCCATTGTAGTGTGTGCTCTTTTTCGAAAAAGAACGATTGTAAGGAAATACGGATCACAGAAAATGGCCCTCAAACCATTTTGTGAGCACACACTTCTGTGACATTAATGACATTCAGCATGTTGTGTCACCATCCCCACCATTTCCCAAAGCATTTCATCACCACCAACTGGGTGCGATGTATCTCATACTCTCAAATCTTTTTGAAGAGATAGGGAACATAAATAATAAGCAAATAAGCCCCAAAATTCCATGCTGCAATCATTGATGATTGGCCACATGCCTCCTCTTGGGGTTAAAATGCCCCAGTGTTGTTGGGGATTCCCAGTGATAACCTGAACTTTTAACCCGGTGACTCTCTAGGAAGATTTGTTTTTTTTGAAACACACACTTTCTGCTGGGGCTTCTTGTTCACAAAGAATTCCGGAAGCCAAATGGTTTAGCTGGCAGCTCTGCGGGAGCAACAACACCAATCCACCAGCAGGTGGCTTAAAAGAACAGTCATTTATTTTCTCAAACCAGGCTCTCCAGGTGGAGATGGCTTCTGTGAGCACCCTAATCCCAGCACAGCAGGGAGGCGGTGTGTTAGGGAAACAGATCCTGCGCAGAGGGGGACACGAGAGCGACTCCGAGCTCTCCTTGTCACAGATGTGTGGGAGAGACGACTTGGCTGCAGAAGACATTAGGAAGGGAAAGGGCTAACCAACAGAGCAGACAGGCAATGTGGGCAGAACCTAATGCTGCCTTTGATCTGTGAGTCAGAGTCCTGGGGTGGTGCAGACAGGTGAGCGCTCAACCAATAACCAAAAGGCTGGTCATTGAGACGCACCCAGAGGCACCGTGGGAGAAAACCTGGCCATTTGCTTCCAGAAAGTCCAAGCTGCCCTGATGGCATTATCGCAAAGCAAGGACCCAGGAATTGACAGAATACCGATGTTTCAACAAACAGATACAATGCTGGAAGTAGTCGTTTTTCTTTGCCAAGGAATTTGGAACCCATCTATGGGGCCAACCATATGGAAGAGATCCGATTTGTGCCCACCTCAAAGAGAGGCGATCCAAGAGAATATGTAAATTCTCAAACAATATCAGTAAGATCACACACAAGTGAGATGTTGCTGCAAATAATTCTTAAATGGTTGTAGCAGTGCATTCACCGATTTTGCCCGAAATTCAAGTCAGTTTCAGAAGAGGACATGGAATGAAAGGTACTATTATTAATATTAGATGGATCTTGGCTAAAAGCAGAAAATACCAGAAAGATATTTACCTGCATTTTACCCAGTACTCATAAGGAATCTATAATCGATGCCTATGATAGCAGCTATCAAGAAATCAAGCAACATATTGCATTGGGAAAATGTGTTGCAAAGGACCTCTTTGAAGTCATAAGAAAGTCAAGCTGTCACTTTGAGGACTAAGATGCTCTTGACCCAAGCTATTATATTTTCAATGGCTTCATATGCATACAAAACCGGACAGTTAACAAGGAAGGCTGAAGAAGAAGCGATACTCCTGAAGAAGCATGTGTTGGGCAAAGAAAATTGAATATATCCCAGACTGCCAGAAGAATGAATGAATCTATTTCGGAGGAAGTACAGCCAGAAAGCGCCTTAAAAGAGAGGATGGAAGACTTCATCTCAGGTACATGTTACTAAGGAGTCCCAGTCCCTGGGAAGGTCATCTTGCTTGGTAAAGTACAAAATGAGCAACAAAAAGAGGCAGACCCTTCAGGAGGTGGGCTGACACGGTCACTGTAGCAATGGGCTCAAACGTAGCGATGATAGTGTGGATGGCCGAGGACCGAGCGGGGGTTCACTGGGTTTCCAGGAGCCAGAACTGCCTGGAAGGGACCTTACAACAACAGCAGCCGCCGAAGACCATAATCGAGAAGAAGGCCGTTCTGTGGGAGCTCAGGGTCTGTGGGAGGGAGGTAAAGAACCGAGTCCAGAAATAAAGAGGCGTAGAGTCACTGTCAGGATAATACCCTTGAAAATGTGAATCTTTTTTTACATTTAATTTTAAAAACATATTTAAAGATTCAACTAAACCTTGATTGAACATTATTGTTTACAAACGTCTTTGAACCGCTGAGATAACCTAGGTTTTTGTTGCCGTTTGGTTCGCAGGTGAACTTCGGAGTATACCTGATGCACAGGTCTTTGGATTTGTCTTCTCCGCGTTTCCTGTCTGTAGGTTCTCAGGTGCTCCCTGTGTTGAAAGAGGACACAGAATGCCGCCCGATACCTGCTTCTGACAAACACCAGGACATTGTCTCTTGAGAATGTTTTGCGCACGTATGGACGCTTCTCTCTCACAGTTGCATCTGTGATCATGAAGGTCTGTGATTTGGTTCAGTAAGGCACGCTCTGCTGAACAAGCATCCTCCTTTTCCTTTTGTAGGTAGGGAACAGCTCTCACCTGTTGCCTTCATCCTCCCATTCAGTGTTTCCCAAAGTGGACGCTACTGCCCCCTCGTGGAGAGGGGGTGCTGGAACAATCCAATCGCTGTCACAGAGTGGATGCCTACTCACAGCTACCCTATGGGGGGGCTGCAAGAACAGATCCAACCAAAACCCACTGCCATCCGACTCCGACTCCTATCCACCCTATCGAACTGCCCCTGTGGGCTTCTGAGACTGTAACTTTATGGGAGAAGAAAGCTTCATCTTTCTTCTTCGGAGCAGCTGGTAGTTTTAAACTGCCAGTCTATGGTACTTTTAATATTCTTCTCCTGCACCACAATTCAAATGCAACGATTCTTCTTCGGCCTTCCTTATTCCATGGACAACTTTCACAGGCATATAATTGTGGGGAACCAGCCTCCACATCGAATGGGTCCAAGGGGCGGTTGTGTAACTGAGGGGTAAAATTAAAGA